GCCAGTCCTTGTATACGAACCATTTATAATAAATAAAGCACCGGAATCAATGTAAAAGAAGCTTCTGTATTAAAAAGTATCACATATTTAAAAGGGATTATATTCAACTAAAGCACCTGTAACAAACACAATTATATATTACCATGGGCAGCAGCAGCAATTGGTATCGGCGTAGCAGTTGAAAATATAAAAGACCGACCCCTTGATTGTATGAGTTGCTTCCACCTTTTGCTGTTTATATGGAAAGAACCCATTACAAAGAAAGAAATGGAACACAAAACCCATTACTTCAACACCTAAAGTATTAAGTTTTAAAACCAACAGCCACAGTTTCCCTCCTTATTTAGCATAGTTCAGAGAAATTTAGTAATTCAGGAATAGTGCACAGCGTTTTCATTTCATATTTGCTACAACTACTATAAACTGAACATTTACAAATTACAATATCTGTTATCGTTACTAATCAAAAAGATGGCATGAATACTTGCCTGCATGCTATGAATCCGCCATGGCAACCTGCAGCCTTACTCAAAGTCCCAACACATATGTCAACATCTCTTTCACAATTGTATTGCTCTGCCACTCCGCCACCATTTTTGCCACAAACAAATGTTCCATGAGCCTGAGTCAAAGAGAATATTTTCTTTTTATGACTAAAACCTTATGCCTACATCAAAAGAAAACGAAAAAAATAGACCAACTTTTTCCTGTACGATAGACATATTTAATCAACAAGGACAAGTTGATTTTTGTGTGTAACTGGAGAATTCATTCATAATATAATTAAGACAATCATTGATGCGTGTACAAGATTAACCTTAAAAAGGTTTCACAAGTTCTTACTGTGGAATAACCCAAGAGGACTTACATCATCAATAACTAACAGAAAGCCATGCTCTTTGCGTAGCTTCACAAGCTCAATCATTGGTGCAAAGTCTCCGTCCATGCTAAACAAGCTGTAGTGAAAGACAAAAACAATTCATAAGAAGTATAACAAATAAAATCAATAGGAACACTTTATATGAATGTGAATTTGATCCCAACTGAAATGATGGTACAGAAAGTAGCACTTGCCTATCAGTCACGACGACTTTCTTCCTCATTGTGCAACTTGATCTGCCACAACACAAAATGCATTTCTAAGCTATGGACAGAAGGAAGTACATATCCAATAAGAAGAGGCACACAAATTCAAAACAAAAGTTTAAGACCTACAACAATGCATTAAGGTGAGTCATGTCGCAATGTCTATAGATGAATATCTCTACAGATTTTTGTCGTTCAGCAAGACGAATACCATCGATTATTGACGCATGGTTCAGTGCATCAGAAAAAATGGCAATTTTTTCATTAGTTAAAGGAGTTTTTCCAGCAGCCAAGAGAGAGCCAACATTTCCCAAAGCTACCATCAAGGCCATATTGGCTGCAAATCCTGTGGGACAAAGAAGGCAATCCTAGGGGATAAATTTGAAACAAGATTGCATCAGTTTTCACTTTTGAGCTAAAAAGCCTAAAAAAGTATTTCAATAAACCAGACATAAAGTTAAAAACAACAGAATCAAAGGCTTTAGACCTCCAAAAAAAAACACAATTAAACTTCGTCTAGAAATGAAAAAGGAAATGATGTTCATTGACTGGGAAAGCATGTGTATGTTTCTGACAGTTAAAGCGAGCATAGTCTAAATACAAGTTTCTACCAAATGACCCTTGACACCATGGGCCATGGCCAGTAAACAGGAAGAAGAGAATGGATGACAAAGTACACATAAAGAAGTTAAATCAGCACAGTATAATGTATAAACAGAGCAGCTCATACCTCTTTCTTCTTTAAGTCTGCAATGCATGACTCGAGTCGCCTATGGTAATCGGTATATCCGCATATTAAAGCAGAGCCCCTGGGGCCCATCCCATGTTCTAGGGCTGCCTGATTGAATAAAAATCCTTATTATTACATGGTAACTTAAAGATGCAATCTTTACAAAAGTTATGCAAAAAAGACAACCTTGGAAGCAGCTTTTCCAATGGTAGGATGTGAGCTCAGGCCCAAATAGTCATTCCCAGAGAATAGTAACAGCTTTCTGAACTTATGGGTACCTTCCTCATCTCCTATGAATTCCATAAACGTAATGTAAGTTCAAAACAGAGAAAATTCTACAAAAAGCAAATTGGAAAATAGTTGTTGAATTGAACCGTACCGGAACTGGGAATGTCGTGGAGCCATTTCTGGAACGTGGGTTCAGGAATGTGGACCTCCACAGAGGATCGGTCCCACGGCTGCATTTCATCGAACACATGGAATTCATCATCGACGGGGTTTTGGGCTTCTTGGGTTGGTCCATTTTGGAGGTAAATGGGTCTGAGAGAACGAAGGAGTTGAAGGTGTTCAAGTTTCTGAAGAGCCTCTTCAACCCCATTATCCCACGACCTCAACATCTCAATGCAGCTCAACTTCTGCAATTTGCATAGCAGAGAGAGAAGAAGCCGGCGGCGGGGGTAGTTGGACTGTTGGAGCGTAACGCCTTGAGCAGAGTTAAAAATTCGGAAGAAGCACGGTTAACCACGTATGTCCTCAACTGCAAAAGGACCAATTGGCCATTTTGGAATAGTTTCGAATGAGAAAAGACAAGACACATTGGGGTCAATTCGTGAATAAAGATAAATATGCAATGCCTTTTGTACCCTGCTAGATTACAAAACCATTAAGGCCATTATTGATTTTTCACATCTCGTTTGTGTTTTTTTTCCCTTTATTTTAATTTTTCATGTTTGCAATATATATATATATATATATATATATGCTTACAAAGGTTCATAAACAATATGTAAAGACTGATTTGACAACGATCACTCTAGGACAGAAAATAAATAAAATAATATTATATTTAGTTGATGTTTCTAGTATTATTATTCTTAAGGGTCGTTTGGTACTGCGGAATGTTATGGATATGATTAAA